CAATTCAATGGAAAAGTCAGATAAACTCATATAATTGTGGGAAAATTCTACTACCAGTCCTTCATCACCTTACACGAAATAGGGTGAATACATCTCATCACACTGATTTACTGGTAGTCTCGAAACCCTACTTTAATACGAATATAAGTAACGTTGTCGATTACTATAGAAAACATAAGACTGATAAAATTCTACTACCAGTCCTTCATCACCTTACACGAAATAGGGTGAATACATCTCATTACACTGATTTACCTACTACCAGTCCTTCATCACCTTACACGAAATAGGGTGAATACATCTCATTACACTGATTTACTGGTAGTACTACCAGTCCTTCATCACCTTACACGAAATAGGGTGAATACATCTCATTACACCGACTACCAGTCCTTCATCACCTTACACGAAATAGGGTGAATACATCTCATTACACTGATTTACTGGTAGTCACTTCCAGTCCTTCATCACCTTACACGAAATAGGGTGAATACATCTCATTACACTGATTTACTGGTAGTCTCGATTCCTTCATCACCTTAGACGAAATAGGGTGAATACATCTCATTACACTGATTTACTGGTAGTCTCGAAACCCTTACTCTCATCTTACACGAAATAGGGTGAATACATCTCATTACACTGATTTACTGGTAGTCTCGAAACCCTACTCAAATACGAGTATAATTTTTTGTGAGCTTAGAAAAATAGAGTGGACACAGGTCATATATATGATTTACTGGTGGTCGTAGTTATAAAGGACAAAATAAGTAATAAAGTCGATTGTTATGGCAAATGCAACTTTGCTTTATCGACAATCCTGCCAGTGAATGTGACATGGAAAAATGGCTGACTTTCCTGGAAATTCACATCTGCCTTGTCACATAAAGACACTCGTGACAATGTGTGTCGTAGTGGATAATGTGTCGAGATTATACGCTGCAGTACTGCGCCATTCGAGTGCCGATGAGACGAGTTCAGGTGAGGCCGTTAATGCAGTCCACTTGCGTCGGAGTGTGAATACCCTTTGGGGAAGCAAGGCTATGTGAAATTCAATAGAAACTTAGGGTCTACTCATCTGATTGTGAGAATATTTAATTGCTAGTCCTTCAGACAACTTGGAACAGCTTCATGTCATAAAGTCAACATTAAATGATCACATGCTAGTTTATTTATTTTTGTAAGGAAACAGATGCAACCGAATCAACT